TATATATATATATATATATATATATATGAAACTATATATAAAAAATAATTATTGCAAGCCAAAACTGCGATATTTTGATATGTAAGCTTATACGAGATGTACTATTATATTCAACGAACTACCTGAATGGATTTTTATCATGATTTGTAGACCCTGATGCAAGGCCTACGTTCAGACCTAGAAAAATAGTAAGGGAATATGAGGCAAAACATGCTATTTCAGAGCAAAGTCTTTGTAAGTAACAGGTATATTTTTATTATAAAAAACAAAAGTAGACCTAGATGTTTTAAAATGTATGTGTAATTCCTTATTATTAGATTAGATACTAATTATTTATCGTGATATTATCTATAGCTGTAAAGCTATTAAAAGTTTATATGTGATTTTATAATTGCTTGTTGTTTTTACGTGTAATTCTTTATATTTCCAGCCTCTAATGCTAGGTTGAAAGCTAAGCAAGTAAAGGTTTACGGAGCAGAACGTAGTATATCAGAGCAACAATGTAAGTAACAACATAAATATAAGAATAAAGTTTACATGAAATTTTATAGTTGCTTGATGTTTTTGTATGTAATTCATTATATTCAAAAATATTAACAGATAGTAATTATGTATTTGTATTTCTAGCCTCCAAATCTACATTCAAAACTGAACATATTCCAAGTGTAGGCATATATGGAGAAAAATATGGCATATTATTAGATCAAGGTCAATGTAAGTATTTTAGAGACTATTTAGGTAGGTTATGATTTTGTAATTATACTGTATCACGAGTAAATATTAGCAGGAAAGCAACAGTATGTCTGAATGTCGAACAATATGTGTAATTCACTATTTCAACATATTCAACAAACTGCGAGAACACAATTTATATCGTGTATTTCTAGCCTGTGATGCTACATTCAAAACTAACAAATGTGTAAGTGTATGCCTACAGGAGACAGAGCGTGATATATCAAGACAGAGTCAATGTAAGTAACAACATAACTTTATGACTTTATTATACTGCATCACGAGTAAATATTAGCAGGAAAGCAACAGTATGTCTGAATGACGAACACTATGTGTAATTCACTATTTCAACATATTCAACAAACTGCGAGATCACAATTTATATCGTGTATTTCTAGCCTGTGATGCTACATTCAAAACTAACAAATGTGTAAGTGTAGGCCTACAGGAGACAGAGCGTGATATATCAAGACAGAGTCAATGTAAGTAACACAACATAACTTTATGACTTTATTATACTGTATCACGAGTAAATATTAGCAGGAAAGCAACAGTATGTCTGAATGACGAACACTATGTGTAATTCACTATTTCAACATATTCAACAAACTGCGAGATCACAATTTATATCGTGTATTTCTAGCCTGTGATGCTACATTCAAAACTAACAAATGTGTAAGTGTAGGCCTACAGGAGACAGAGCGTGATATATCAAGACAGAGTCAATGTAAGTAACAACATAACTTTATGACTTTATGTACATGAGATTTTATAATTGCTTGTGGTTTTATGTGTAATTTATTATTAGAATTAACTTACCCGATAATAATTATATATCTTGTATCTATAGCTTCCGATGCTACGTTAAAAACTAAATATATGCCAAATGTATATGGAGCAAAACATGGCATATCAGAGCAATGTCACTGTAACAACATAACTATAAGACTATTAGTATGCGTTTTTTATAATTTGCATGTAGGCCTATTTTTAATGTGTAATTCATTATAATTCAACAAACTTACTAATAATTATGTATCTTGTATTTCATACCCTCTGATGCTACTGTACTCCCAAAGCTACAAATAGGCCTATGGCAAGGGCATATGGAGCACAACATAGCAAATCAGATCAAAGTCAATGTAAGTATTTTTATATACAATTTTAGTCATTGCCTACACGCAACATACGTTGATTGACCTTGGATACAAGCATGCGCAATTCAGATTACGAAATGGGTTATTGTATTTGCTATTTTGTAATTATATTGAATTACTGTAAAAGAAAATATTAGCAGGAAAACAGCAGTGTAGGTCTATGCCTGAATGTTTTAAAATATATTTAATGTGTGTAATTCACTATTTAGAACAACAAACAATTTTTACCCTGCATGTCTAGTCTTTGATGCTACGTTTAGAGCTAAAAATGAGTAAGTAACTAGAAAGCAATGCGGGATGTATCAAAACAAAATCAATGTAGAGAAAATATAAGAAAGAGGAAAAACAGCAATAGGTCTATGCCTGAATGTTTTGAATTATTATTATACATGTGTGTGTAACAACATATTCAGCAAACTACACGAACACAATTTTCCGTGCATGTCTAGTACTTTATTCTACGTTTAGTGATAAAAATGAGTAGGGGTATAGAAAGCAATACGTGATGTATCAGAACATAGTCAATGATAGTAACTACGTAACTGTAGGACCAGTACAATTTAGGGGATTTTATATGAGTTATATTATAAGCATAAAAACAATAGTGTTTAAAATATTTATGGATATGAGATTCGCTATTAGACCTATTAATTAATTGTAATTTTTAGCCTCAGATCCTACATTCATTTCATATTCGTCGAAAGAAGATTTTGAAAAACGAGGGGACTACTTTTCTAATAATGGTGTTTGGGAGCTTGCTGTCGATTGCTACATACGAGCAGGAAATAGTAAGTTCTTTGATTCAACTAATTTATTAATGCTTATTGCAAAGTTAGGTTGTACTAATACAGTATTCTGCTATAATCACATGTGTCTTTTTCACCTGTGGTGGAACATGCCATCCCAGAGAGTGCATACCTACGCTCTGATACAGCCTTTGACCATTTCTTCCGAAAAATTATCATCTCTTTCTTCAAATATTATGTATAATTGCACTAAATTTTATGATTATCCATTTATTACGCTTTGCGTAATCTTGCTAACAGGTAGAAAGCTAACATAACCTGGAGGTTTAGAAAGAATACATTAGTAACCTGCTTATTTAATAATGATACTGATAAAGTCTCTATCAATATTAGTATAAGATTCCTTTTACGAGTGGATGGTTTAGCTTACCGTAGCTTTCGCTGTCTTCTCGACAGATTTTACGACTGTACGTAAGCTAAACCATACCAACTTTGCTGCGTTTGCCCAACGCATCTAAATTGCGTGCCGGCCACTCACTGCGCCAGACGTCGTTGGCCGACACGATTCTACGGTGAACGCAACGACGCGCGCAATGGAGGATCCGTTTAAACTGCCACTTACAATAAGCAACTGCGTCGTTTGGCGTTCACACGGAGCGTAGTTAAATTCGTAGTACGACACGACCGTCGTACGACGCAGTGAGTACCCTGTTATACTATTGATAGGCCTATAGAAACAGCCGCCGCATCTTTCGTGTTTTTGCCTCTGATGAGTGTCAAAGTGCATTGGATCTAGCTATATTTAATTTAAGTAAATCATTCTGGCAATTTTAAATTACATGTTAAACCTTTTTATTATATCTAATTTTAAGATAAAAAAGCATGGAAGGCTAAAGCAAATTATAGTGCAAACGAAGCAGTGAAATTGAAAGGAAAAAATGAGATAAAGAAGAACGAATGGATTTTGGACGCGGCCTTCAGTTTTATGCATTGCGGTATGTACAATGAGGCGGCCCGGTGCCTCTTTAGTGCAAAGGAATATGAATACTCCGCTCAGCTGTTTGAAAAAATTGGTGATGTAAGTTATATGTATGAATTATCATTGGTCAGTATTCCTACATCGATAATTTACACACCTAGATATAAAATAAAATCGATTCAACACAGTAATAACATTATTTCGGTAGGCCAACATGAATAAAAAATTTAAAACATCTGATGAGTTCTTAACATTTTGTTTTGCTAAAGGTTGTTGGAGCTGCCAAGATCTATGATAAGCGATTGAAAATTAAGGACTTTTACGACGATGCCAGTCGCTGCCACGAAAAGTGCGGCAACTACGCAAAGGCAGTAGAGGTCTTGAAAGATCATAAAGAATATGACAAGGCTGCTGACGTCATTGAACGTTTTGAACAATTGCTCGACAGTGCAGAATTGCCTGAGAATTTCGAAGAACCACCGTATGTAATGTGAATGCATGTAGTGCACCGTTAAGGATTTGATTTGAACTTACAGTCGGTAGAGTGTACTTCGCATACAGGGCAGGGTAGCCAATTCCATAAAAACCTAATGCACATCTATGAGCAATCTGCCAAGAAGCGCCTGTGCATCAGAACATCACTAAACAAAATTTTGCACACCGCTAAACCAGAGGTTAGCCTTAGCTTATGATTATCAATGACCATGGAGCCTGACCCATGAAGAACCATATGGTTATTGAATATGCAAGACCTAACCCTGTTTTGTATGCTAAGAATAATCTACCCAAAATATTGGGGTTCGAGTCCTATGTGTTTTTTTGGGGGGTGGGGACTGATAGAGACTTTATTTTAGTTTCCTTCTCCGAGATCATTCCATTTGGGGTTCCCCCCATGTCTTTCAAAAGAAAGTACAATGGTTCTTAAGAAAAGTACATTTGCATATATATATATATATATATCTGNNNTTCTTAAAGACCTTCATTGGCTTAGCATTAAACAACGGATAACATTTAAGATTCTTTTGCTTGTTTTTAAATCACTCTTTTTTAAACAACCATCATATTTGCTACATTTTCTTAGGCTATACTCTCCAACTCGTGCACTTCGTTCTTCCGATAAATTTCTTCAATCCCCTTCAAAAAGGAGAAAGCTAAAAGCATATGGACAACGCTCTCTTTCTGTTCTGGCACCTTATTTTTGGAATCTATTACCTCAATCTTCAAATTTAAACTCATTTAAAACTAATTTGAAAACATTTTTGTTTACAAAAATTGTTTACTGCGCTTTGATAATGGTTTTTGAATTGGCGCGTTATAAATTTCTGCATATTATTATTATTATTATTATTATTATTATTATTATTATTATTATTATTATTATTATTATTATTATGTATATGTATATGTATATGTATATGTATATGTATATGTATATGTATATGTATATGTATATGTATATGTATATATATATGTATATATAATGCTAAATTTAGTAAATAAGAGTGCGTTAAAATATTAGGCTATATCGGATAAACATTATGAATTACGACGTCAGATCGAACAAACGGTTTGAAGATATCCGCCTTAATAATAAATCCTCGCTTATAATCATATTTATTGTTTGCAATTAAAAGTTTTTTTCAAACTAATTTGCAATATATCATTAATTCTATATAGAGATATTTTCGATACATGTTGTCGCCAAGCAGCCGAGCATCACTACCAACATCAATCCTATAACGAAATGTTAGCTGCATTGGACCGATTACCTAATGTAGATGATCGAATAACTTTTCTGAAACTTCATAAACAGCACCTCTATGCTGCCGAAATCCTTAAAAGTAAAGGTAGGCTAACAGAAGCTGCAGAATGTCACCTCAAGTTAGGAAAACAGAAATTACGACAACTAGGAGTTTTTGGAGCTCATGACAACGTTAACCCAAATTACGATTTCCGTTTTAAATTACCTTGGAATACGCCGAGAGATGTTTCATCTTTAAAAACTGAAGAACAATATGATCTAGAACGAAAGGCACTTGAAGAAGATATCAAGAAACAGGCAAAGGAGTCACTGAGGCTATTGAGCATGAGCACAGATCTACAGGAACGACTTTTTGGAGACTATAATTTTATTCTTGCAAAGCTGAATAAGAATGTTTACGCACTGAATGATGCACAGCGGTACTTTCATGAGGCCAACAGCGACGCTGGTCAAATGGAGTGCATTCATTTGCGTATAAGACTACAAGATTCCGTGCCTATCAGTAACATAATTAACTACCTTTCAAAATTGCATGACTTCATTCAAGTCCTAAAACACTATGATGGCTCTAAAAAACAAACGATAGTTGTCAAGTCAGCTGAGTACTTCTATGACATAGATCTTGGAGCTAGTACTCAAGCCGAAGTGAAACAAAGTAGAGATCAATTTGAACACGCTCGTATTAAAGTGGTGAGTAATCATTGTTTACCAAAGGCTGTGATATGGTTCAAGTTGGTTAAAGAAAAACTTGAAAAAATCGAAATGAAGACAAAGCAATGGAATTTATACGCTGTTGGTATTAGACCTTGCACTAAACAAGACATTTTAAAGCTAGTGGATTGTTACTTGTCAATGATCAGGCTTGTACACTGTGCAACAAAATGGAAACCACTCATTTTTGGTGATTCAGGCACGGAATTGCAATCCGTAACAGATGCAATTATCGAGTGGAAATTCCAACCTTGCTCTAAATTGTATGATCTCATTTTCCCATATCATTGTAATCGACATATTTTGACAGAAAATCAGGGAGTTATCGAAGATCTTTTAACATTAGTTCGGCGATCACCTGAAGTAAAGCTGAAAATGACTGCCTGGGTTTTTAATCTTTGTAAATGTTTGGATACCAAAGAAAATAAATATGATTCTAATGTATATCTAAAGACTTTAAACGTCCACCGTCTGGTTAATGAGGACCCACATGTGACAAAGCAATGGAAAACCTGGGGGATGTCGTATGAATGCTGCCGTATGGCTAACAACTTCATGGACAAGGTTCTTGAGTACACTAATAACCTTTATGTTCGTGGTGACACAATTGAAGCAATAACCAGCTGCATTACATTTTTGGTATTCATTACTAAACAGCCTTCCATACCGTTACTGCCATCTATTGCCAATATATTAGCAATAATAGAACACGCTTTTTCAGTCGCATGTGCAGTTACTGCTAAAACTCAACAGTGTGAAGTTTTTCTACCTGCCAGCTACCTTGGTCAGATACAGTTTCAAGATGAGCTATGTAGAGCACCCAACCGCAAATTCAATTTTTACCAAGCACTGGATTTGACAGACCACTCCAAACGTAATCAGTTACTTGGACAAGTTCAAAACTTTGTGGAGATGATGGCTTATGGTGGTGAGTTCCCTGGATTCAAAATCATCTCAGACGCCTTTAATTCAACAAAATGCATTGAGTCTGGTGAAGCACAGCGAAGTCTTATCCTTGCGCTTGTAATGTTGTGTAATTATAGAACTTTGTTAAGTAATGAAAGCGCGTTTAATCTCAGATGCCAAATATTAACTATTCAAACTGACCAACACTATCCACCCAGACTAGCCAAAGCTGTGAAAGATGTTAAAAATGCAAAGACATTGGAAGATATATTAAATGTTCTCCAAGAGCTTCTGTTGCAACGAGAAAATGAGTCCCTGCTGACGTGTCTCTGGAGTTCACAGAGATCTAATAGATACCACAAGTTGAACTATAAGAAAGTAGTTCCAAAACATTACATGGATTATACAATAAGTAGCCTAGCGGGTATGCATCCAGTTGTAATATCTGACCATTGGCTAGTCGTTTATATGGAGGACTTATCTCACATTGAAGACCACTGGTGTGCATTATGTGAGAAAGAATTGCATCATGAAGAAGATGAGAAAGACCAAACACAGATGCCGTCGGATTCCTCTAAAGGTAACTATTTCTAATATATATTTAAATCTTATTCTTGTTAATCTGAGTTGACAACATGTATAATTTTTGGAAAGTATATATAATGTCACCTTCTAATACGTTTTTCTTGTAATAGGCCTACTAACAAGGTTTAGTCATCAATGTCAGTCCATGCACCAATGGCGTTGGCAGGCCGACCCCTTTAAAAGGTTGTCATAAATGTAGAAGAGTCTTTAAGCCCCTTCATCTTAACATGGACGCAAACAAAAGGGGCACAGGGCACAATGCAAGTACTTCAACCACACCCCATAAGAGACAGACACCACCCTCTCCCATCTGTTAAATGTTTGATCCGTCCTTGCTCGGTTCATATATTCTGTAGATTTAATCTGGTATTTTATTCTCTTTTCGTTAGAGCTATGATACAGTAGCCGACCACATGTCACAACAGATTGGAAAAGTCCCCAGTATCAGTCAAAGCATGCTGATTAAATTTAAAGTCATTCAATGTTGTAATATAACGATGCTACTTTATATTAGTGTAATATATCATGTCATATGTTATTAACGTGAATGCATTAATAACAATATTTTTATATTAGGCCTATATATATATTTTTTCTCATGCTTCAGGTGATGAACCAACTAACCTACATAATCCAATGGAACAGCACGTCTTGTCGGATGAACATACTGAAAATCAAAAATTGTTTGAAGACTTCAAGCTAGAAATTACAAACACATTACCAGTCTTTGAAGGTAGATTTATTGTGGAATATTATAAATTTGTATAAATGTGTAACCTAGCTTATTTTTACATCTGAGTTAAGATAATTTATAATTGAAACGGTAATAGTAATGTTATCTTTTTTACAGAAACCTATTTGCTGTATAGATGTCTACAAAATTGTAGTCATGAAGATAAGGATGTTTACTTTTCTGTAATACATATTAAAATTTAAAAATATTACGTTTTTAAAAACATTTTTCCAAAATTTACACAACTTTTGCAGAAGACTCTTAAATACCTGTCTCTTATACACATCTAGATGTGTATAAGAGACAAGGCCCAATACACAACGAGGTTGTTTTTTCTAATGGTAATACTTTGTTTCCTTTTTCTAAAATAATTAGCGCGTTAGAGAGGACCAATGCCAATTCGAGGAGACTGTCGAGGAGGTCATGGAAGAACGTAGATGGAAGGAGTTTGGAAAAATATACTTTGCTTGGTGGTCATTTGATATGAGTGTTCGGGATCTAATGGAACATTTCAAGCAACTATAAATGCATAATGTATTCTAGTGTATCTGATTATATTCCTACAATGTACAAAAATAACTTTTGAAGCATGAGTATAGCATGACCCTTCTTGGGAACGAATATTTGCTATTAAAGTTAAACCTCCTATCTATATTAAAACGTCTTCCTTGACATGGTAATCATGGGCGTCGATTGGTGAGGACACGTCCCCCCCTTTTTCAAAGTAGGGGACCGTCATATCAATTGCGCCCCCCCCCACACTTTTCACCAATCTTCTACAGTTAAAACCCCCAACTTTCAAAGCGAGTGGAAAGAACAACAATTACTCATGACTGCTATGAATTTTGTCTGTTCACTTGTGCTCTTTTTCTATTCCCTGACCAAAACCGAGTAAAAACGCAATTGTTTGTATATTTCGTAACCTTCTCAGTAACAACTTTATCGATTTTATGGGTGTAACGGCTATCTGAGGTTAAATTTATTGTGAAAACAATGTACGTTGTTAAAATTGGAAGCGTGTAAATCTCTTAGGCCAATATTTTTACAAACTCAAAAGTGCACAATTTCTACTATACAGGATTTATTCCTTTTGTATACGACTCGTATGTACTAGTGTGTGATATTATCTGCATACATAAATTCCCGTTTTTCCTAATTTCAAAAAATTATAGTTAGTCAATTGAATTTTATATAGCCGTTATTAAACAATAATTATACGGCCTTTCACACGTACAGGTCTATCTATTTCGATTTATTTAAGTAGTGATACCACAAGTTTACAAACCCGATGTTACGTTGACGCAATCTCGGGAAGACGTCATAATAATCAGTGGCGGATCAAGTGGGGCCGAGGCGACCCGAACCCCCACTAAATTTTTAAATTCTATAAAAAAAAATGGGGGAAAAGGAAAACATAATTAGAATTTTAGATCTGAGAGTATCATTTCCGGCCATCTAGAGGCCATCTAGAGGCCATCTAGAGGTGTCATAATCATAAATTTTCTTACCTCAGCCCCGACCATGGTGGGGATGAGGTGGTCTAGCTTCCCAAACTGTGAAAGTCCCTCCTTGTACCCCTCTATTTCGGTTTCCTTGGTCCCCCACTGATAATAATAAATTAAGTAAATCACCTTAATGTTTGTGAAATTAAAATGCTAACTGTTTTGTGTGCTTAGTCCTGTTTGATCGTAAATTAGACGGTAGTATTTTCACTCACAATATAGTGTAGTCGCAATACTACTTGCATAAATGGGAAATTCAAAAAGAGGAGAAAAGGAAAAACCTCTTGATTGATTTTAAATGTATTGCATTTGCAAAGAGGCTAAATTAGTGACTGTTGTAAGTTTATCTTGTTTGTTTTTCATGGTTGGAATACGTCACCAGCATAATCAGTAGATAATGAATCATTATTTTTGTATAAATATTAGTTTGCACGAAATATATAAGCGGGCATGATTATGATAACCAGGATAATTTGAAAAAAATGTCATGATGAGTATTTCAATGGCAGATTAAAGGGGGGGGGGGCTAGGCGGCCGAGCCTCCCTAATTTTTTTCAAAATTTAAAAGTGGAGACAAAAGAAAATTATATTCAAATTAAGTATGAGAGTGCCATTTCCGGCCGACTAGAGGTGTCATAATCATATTTTTTTTTTACCTCAGCCCCAACCATGGGATTAGGTGGTCTACACTCTCCATTTGTAAAAGTCCCTCCCTTGGTCCCCTTTATTTCAATTTCCTGGATCTGCCACTGTATTTTGAAAATGTAGTGTGGAAATGTTAATTGCATTCCTTAAAATCAAGTACATACGACTTATCAAAGGCTATATGCGAAAGAGCTTCAGGGGCTCACTGGGGCCCTAGGTGACATTCTGGCACCCAACAAAGGCTTGGACCTACGGCCCAAGGCTTTCTTATTATTGCATTTCGTCGTGCCTAAGTAATTGTAAATATATTATAATCTAATGATGTAAAGGGATGTAAAAAAACAAATGCTTTTGTGAAGAAATCAGGGGCGAATCCAGACATTTGCAGGAGGGGTGTCCAGAAAAAAGGGCATGCATTCAGTTTCAAACGACGTGCGAAGATTGAGCTGGATGTTTTGTTTGATATTCCGAACCCTCATCTGTCTTGTCACCCTTCTTGTCATCTTTGAGAGACTTTTCTGTAATACATATTAAAATTTAAAAATATTACGTTTTTAAAAACATTTTTCCAAAATTTACACAACTTTTGCAGAAGACTCTTAAATACAGCCTAATTATTAATGTACCTATACAGTATCGTATTTTTCTGGATCCAGAAATTCGGAATAAAGTGAGTCCTGTGTTATCAGTTCATCTAACTTAAATAGCGCCCTCTATAATTTCTGCCTTAACGGTATGAGGAAAAAATAATGGGGGCGGGCCGATTCATCCGCCACTGGAAAGCTATTCCAGAAATAAAAAATACTGTTGTGTATCTGACCATGACAATTATTTTGATTAAGTACCTCCAACACCAATGTTCAACGTTATTATCCCTAATTGATAAACCCTTCATGTGATTTTGTATGTTTAAAAAAATTAGATAAATTTATGTTACCTGAAGGGCAGAATGTTTTTAGGTAAATATGTTACTCAAAATGAAAGAATTGATTAAAATATTTAAAAAAAGTATAGGTAGTGTAGCCAAAAGGTCAGTAGTTCCTTTAAATTTGTAGTATTATATAGACCTACAATTAAAGAGCTTAGTTTTAAAATAAAAGGATGTTTTAATTTGGAGAATTGTAATTTGGAGGTCAAAGAGTACTCATAAGCAGTTTTTTTGTAAAATATATGAAAATTTTCCAGCTTTTTTTTTTCCTACTTGTTTTTTAATTCTTTTTGAAATTATTCATGTGCATGTATGCTGTGAGCGTCTATGAGCCACTCCATATCGTCTGCAGACATTGTCTAGTTGTCTATTAGCTTTAAAAAAAATAATATATCCTATGTAGTTGATGATACAAATGAAATAGCCTTTCTATGAGTTATTGCCCCAAACAATGTTGCAGTATCTCAAATAAGGAAGGATTAGGGAATAAAAAATACGAATAATGGGGATAATCTAAAAATAATTCCAACTTTTAAAAATTATATTCTCTATTTTGTTGATGTGTTTTTTTCCATGTAAGCCCACTGTCAAGATGTACCCCTAAAAAGAACTTAGCTGACTGAAACAAAGGGTATGTCATAATAGGCCTACATTCTAACTGCTGTGGGGTTCCAAACAGGATGAAGTTACATTTGTTATGGTTGATTGAAAGTTTATTAGTATTGAGACAAGGGATCAGTTTGAAGTTGACAGTATCAAAATTATTTAAATAATATGATATTGTGATCAATTGTGTCGAAGGCCCAGGCGCGGATCCAGACCTTCGCCCACACGGTTCGCCCAGGCGAAGGTCAGGGTGAGAAATAAAAATAAAATTTTGACCATTTTTTCAACAATCATACTTACATTCATTGACTTTTATTTTGAAAATTACCATTAGGACTTTAATCCACACTAGCCTATATCTTAAACTTTTACACTGATTGTACTGTAGGCTCTACCAGAGAGTTTCATTCCCATTACACTATGGTCTTATTTCTATAGCGTATGATACAGTGCATGACAAACGTTACGTAACCACTACTAACTCGGAGTCGCTCAGCTCATTCGTACATGTGTCTATCTTGGCATTGACACTAGGTGTTTTTAGCATTATTTTAAAGTAATAACCTATCAGACATTCACATCAACAACTAAACGAATGAAAATATATTTCTTTTAACTATTGTTCTCAGCAACAGTGGCGTATCTAGGATTTAATGAAGGGGGTGGGGGTGTCAGGTCCAGTCACGAGAATTGAAGTGGTCAGGACCAGGATACGAACGAAGCGATCACTTAGGCTGGGGGCCAGTTGGCCGCCGGGGGCCCCTGGACGGGGTTCAGGAGCCCCTGGCCCCGGGATAAATTGGCTGTTTTTTCCATTGTATAGGCCCCTCCCCTACACAAGTTTTAATGTTTAGTAGAAATCTAATATACAGTTTAAAATAATTTTTTATATAAAAATACAGGGGTGGGTTTAGGTGGGGGGGGGGTGCGGCCCGGCCCGGCCCGGCCCGCCATTTAAGGAGGTAAAAAAGGCGGAAAAAATGGTAGCCCAGAACGCCGTGGTGACGCCGGTATGGTCAATTTCTTAGGTTATGTTAACCACGTGCTTACCTAAGATTATACTGACACTGGTTTTAAATCACAGTAAAGTAGTTAAAAATCACCCTTTTTTGTGAATTAGCGCCCCTCAACTGATCATCGAGCAGTTACATGCAGAGCACAAACAGAGAATAGGAAACACAATAGCTTAGTATAATATACAATATGTACATTTATTAATAAAAACATAGATACATTATTATAAAAGAGAACAAAAATGATGGTGGTAAAACACAATTAAGTACTTTGAGATGCTCGAAAACTTACAGAATTAGCTGAGCCCACGGCTAAGTAAGTTGGATCAGAGACTTGTGTCCGAGACCGGCAAAGTCTATAGATAAACTTAATGAACTACGGCAGACAGCAGACTTGTAATAAAGTTGACGATAAATTTAGAACTTTTGGACTAACTAAATTTTTTTACATTTATGAACAGGATATGTGGGGGAGATAATTATGACATCACCACATAACTTTAAGATGAATTTACTAACTTTTAAGATGAATTTGGGAATGACATCATCTTCTTAAGGATGAAGTTGTAGATGACATCATCATCACACAACTCAGATTCAACAGTCCCTTAACCTTTGGAATATTACCCAACAGGTGATTCGGACAACAAAATTTATGAGGGGCACTTAAAATCGCACACAAATCATACGACGTCACTGACAACGCCGGGGACGGCAACTCAATTTGGAAATTAATTTTCCGAATAAAGTTATACTAAATAACTTCTTATGACTTCTTGTCTTCAGTTGTCTTTGTTTTTCATTCAGTTGTCATTTTATTTTTTTTTTCGG